AGGGGGGGGCGTTCTCGCTTGTTGCTGGCCTAGGTATTGTGAAAGCTAAGGTTGACCATGCGGGAGGACGGTCTCTTTCAGGCACACGGGGGGGGGGAGGGAGGATTGAGAGGCGACGAATTTGCTCTGACGTGTCTTGAGCGGGGTAATTCGCTCCCAACAGGGGTTGTTGGTGTGTTTTGCACGCACGCGTGCTCGTCTCTCTCTATATGTATACATCCCTCCCCCTCTGTCTCTAGGTACACTCGCTTCAAGCCCATATGTGGACGAGAGATCTAGGCGTTAGCAATTCTCGTAGAAGTGTTTTTGACCGACGATCTTTCGTGAGTGTCACCGAGTACACTGCTGTTGTTTTTTTGTTATTTTTTATGCAAGTTTTTCCCCGTTGAACCCAGCAGACTGGCTCGACACAAGCGTGGTGAACCGCGCAGGTTCGGTTGCCTTTGTTAGTCCAAGTCAGTCGCCGCACCCCCCCGCCCGAGCTCTTGTCCTCTTGCAGTACAGCAAGGACGAAAAGTGTAGCTCCCCGTTCCTTTTTGGCGCTAGCGGAGTTGCCGTCGATGCATCGTCTGCCCCCCTCCCCCCTACACCAATGGGGTACCGCTTCCTAGAAGTAGAATATGGCAATGGTAACGGCCGCGAAAGACTCACGCTTGTCCTTTTGTGCCTGTCTCCATGGGGAAATCCGGCTATACTTTCAAAGCTCGCAACACTTCACAGAATTAAACGCCAACTTTCTTGGCGCCCCCCCCCCCGGGCATAACCTCTCCGAACATTCCCTTCCCCTCAAAACAACGCTGACGTCTTTGTCGAAAACCGTAAACAGATCGACCCGGTTAGGATAGAGTCCCTGGAGACGTTTGGAACTCCTGAGGAAGTAGGCGCGAGGGTGCTCAAGGTGGAGCAGGCAAAGGACGGAACGCTAGACACCAAGCTCTTGGACACTAGCGCGGAAAAGCAGGGGGACTTGTCGCTCTACACCTTGGTGAGTGTGTGGGCGAGTAAGAGGAGAGAAAGGAGAGAAGCAGGTGTCGGGTGGGGGGATAGAGATTGGTGTAACGTGGGGAAAACGAAGGGAGAAAGAGAGAGAGAGAGGCAGACAGCGACGGGAAGAGAGAGAGACGACAGAGGTATTTTTTAGAGAGGGGGAAGGAGAATGAATGGGTCTAGGGGGTTACGGCACGGGGATAGGAAAAGAGACAGGCAGACAGAGAGACACACACAGAAAGGCAGACAGACAGCAGACAGACAGACAGACAGAGAAACAAGTAGGCAGATAGAGGCAGGCAGGCAGGTAGAGGTGTCAGTGGCGGAGACAGGGACTCTTGCGCCCTCCGTGCTTGCTTGGTGTGTTCCAGGGCGGAATGGTTTGTCGTCCTGCATCTCCTCATGAGATGGATAAATGGTAGTATTTTGTGGCGCATGCACGCGAAAACATTATACAAGCATGCCTTGGTTGATAGTCATCAACTACCGCAGATCGCGCTTTGAGAGGGGATGCATGCCATTCGTGGCATTCGTGGCGATGCTGCTTTGTTTCTTTATGTAGCCTGCCAGTGGGCAGATTCTGAAGTTTTCGCTCTCTGCACCAAATACAGCCCCACGTGTACACTGCTGTGCAGCTGTACTTGCATGGAGAAGCGAGACTCACTACCGACTCATCTACACGTAGTTACACGGTGGTAGAGCTAGCCACTACTTTCATGTCAGGTTATAACGGACAGCTTGCTGGAACCTTGTATGTATTGTTAGAGTGAGAGCGGGTAGAGAGAGTCCGGGAAGGCTTTGCTGGGGCCCCCGTCTCCCAAGAGCCCTGCCACTACACATACACATCCACGAAGCCCCGATAATCTCTGTAGATCAGTATCGAGTGCCGCCCCAAAAGGAGTTGTTGCGCGCTACTCTGGTACGGCGGAGACGCTTGCGGTGCCCATCGCCCTGCCACTCCAAGAGCCGCGATGAACACAATAGTCCTGGCCTCCAGGGAAGAAGATCGCCGCTATAACCTTTTACACTAAATAGCGCTAGCCTAAGTTATGCTGAATCATCCCTGGATTTATGTTCTCACTACTGCTGTCCCTCGCTGCCTTTCCTATCGTTGGTTGTTCTACATCGTGACGCGTTGGCTCTGAACTTGTAGTTGCCCCGTTGTTCCTCCTGCGCCCCCTCTCCCCCCCCAGTGGGGACAATGCGCTGTTGTCTCGAGGACGCGTGGTCAATAGTCCAACAACCTATGCAGCAAATGAGCACGCCCCCCCCTGCCCCGCTCCTGCCCGCTTACTTTCTTCTCAGGACTACTTCGTGGAAAACACGAGGGGCTTCAAGCACTTCGTCGCGAAGGTGACCATCAAGGACAACCTCCTGTACGCTTGCACGGCGCAGGCCAAGGAAAAGGATTACCCTCAGGTATACTCCACGCAGAGCGACACACGTCTGTCTCTACCTTCCTTCCATGCCCCGTTAAGACCGTCCGGCGGCAATGTTGATCACCACCACCTCGCTCTGCGTGCGGCGGGTTTGCAGCGACAGAGGCGTGTTGGTCTTGTTGTTTCTGTTTGTCGTGTTGTCGCCGTTGCGACGAGGCGAACTGATCTTCAAGCCCTCCTCCTCTCAAGTAGACTTCGCTCAAATGAAATATCGCTATCCACACACCGTGGGGTGGAGGAGGCTTGCGTTGGGTCATCTTCCCCCCCCCCTCCCCCCCTCCCCCCCTC